CTAGAGACAATAACCACAGTTGAAGGTAGATTCCATGAGGAGGCCCAGGAATGGAGATGGCGAGTGAGTGAGGAGAACAGCAAGGGCCTCAGAGTGTGGGCAAAATGAGATGAAGCCTGGACACTCACTCGCCATCATCCTTCGTGGGGCCAACTTGCATTCTAGTGTCTTAGTAGGGAAACCCTGGGCTGTAGGGAGACGGGTTGTGATGGAGAGGAAGTGTTTTAGCACAGCTGTGTCCTGTTGACTTGTACATGCAAGAGGGGTCTTGGGTAACCGCGGGACTCAGAATGTCTGCAAGCATAGGTCAGGTACTCACTAAGCTTGGGCTGTTTACAGGGAAGTGGTTTCCACTGCACAAGGAGGTGAAATGTCGGTGTCATCCCAGAGTCACACTTCGAGGGCTCCTTCTCAGTAGAGTTCTGCAATCATAGTTTCCCCTACAGAGCAGAAACTTCTGTCATATTTCACAGCTGTTCTAACCACACAAATTTAATAAATGAGCAAAGATACCACAACTCTTGGAGAATACAACTCATATGATTCCTCCCTAACCTGACTAGAGCAGTACCGGGGAAGTAAGGGTTGAGCTAGCAAGCAATGAGAATATAGCCAGCTTTTCAGATGGCTGCTCCTTCCATGAGCCTCCCCCACCCCCACCCCCCACACAAAGTGCTCTAATCAAATGGCATTAAAATCTGTCAGATATTGTAGTTCATGTTCTTAGCCTTTGATCAAGTAAGTCTGCTCCTAAGAATCTATTTCCTACCTAGAAAAATCCTACCCTGGAGGGAGGGGTCATATGCATACACATGTTTAATCTCCAGACATTTACCCCAATTTAAAATTGGATGTAATTTAAATCATCTACAGTATAGAAATGGCTAAGAAAAATGCTGATGTCTGTGAGGTGGCTTTTATAAACAGTGTGATGGCATGAAACATGTTCACATTATGATAATACATTTGAAAAGCCCAAGATGCAAATTTTAAGCAAGACCCATCCGCCCAGGACCTCAGGATCTGATGAATCTTACACAATCCTTTTTTGTAGGTGTTGCTCACTGCCCCCATCCTCCACTACCTGCCAGTGGAAGTGGGTGGTGCTGGTGACAGCCCAGCCCTGCCCCCTGAGTGTGTTCATAGTGGGTGTGGAGCATCGTTTTCTGGTGGTTACCAAGACATAAAGAATACCATTTAGTCTTAGATTTGAGCAACAGTCTTTTATGGGCCAACATGAAGTACACAACTCAATACCTCCAAGATAAAGGGCCCCCAATGACTGAACTCTTCTAACTACAGAGCAAAAGAAAAGAAATATATACACCGCATACAAAATGTGGATGCCTTCATATGCCAACAAAGAAAATCAACAATAACCTACACCTGAATCTGTTATATCCTTTTCCAAAACAGAGGCCTGTATTTCTTTTGGGAAGACACGCTTCCTTGTATTTCTCCAACTTTAAATTGATGTGACATTATGTAGACATATGTACCTTGATTTACCTAGCAAACACCAAAACCCATCACTACTAATTGGTTAGAAAGTTGAATTAAAAGAATCTAAAGTTTGTGTGTGTGTGTGTGTGTGTGTGTGTGTGTTTTCAACAGTAACAAACTCTTCCCTGAGCACCACCACCACCACCACCAACAAGAAGATTTATGTAACTCTGGCAGGTTCTGGCTGTCTTCCCAAAAATTCATCCAAGGGAGAGATTCCAACCTGGCAGCTGCATCGGGATGCTTGGGGCCAAGGCTCACTTTGTACCTGGCAGTCAAGGTTCAGTAGTAGCTCAGGCCTCTTCAACTTAGGTTGGATTGACTTCCTCCTCAAAACAGCCTACAAACACCCTGAGAAAGGCGGAGCCCTCCACGGTACAGATGCACGGCCCTGGCTGAAGTACAGGATGGTCTGAATAGAAAAGGGCCATTGAGTGGTTTTAATCGCTAGTGTGCCAGCATGCCCCGGAGGCTCATGAAAACACAGCTTGGTGGGTCCACTGACTAAAGGTTGGGAACTTGTGTTTCTAGTTCCTAGGTGATACTCAGTCCACTGTCCAGGCACCACCTTTGGAGAAGCCCATTGTTTCAGCAATCTGCTTTGGACCTTCTTGTTCTATTCAGATGGAAATCACAGATAGCTAAGGGGAGCCTCTCAGTGTCAGAACTGATGTCTATAGCCTTGTCAGTCACCTTCGCTGGCTGCTCTTCAGCAGCCCTCCTGCCAATGCAGCTCTTTTCTTCTTCAGTCTTTCTGTTTGCTGGGGCTTTCTCTGTTCTCTGTGGTCTCTCACCTTCTCTGAACTTCTGCTGTTGTTTGAAGACACAGCTTAAAGGCACTGCTTCCAGACGCACTCTGAAGCTCTGTGCTCCCTCCTAGCTGCTGTGTTACCAACTCAGCCCACTGCATCAGTGATAAAAGACCACAAGTCACCAATAAAACCGCTTAGATGAGACTTTATTGGCCTTACCTGCAGGACAACTTGGGGTCTCTTGGACAGACCTAAAAAAAAGAAATATGAGGAGGGCTGTTTGTTTGACCAGTCACACAGATGGATAGTCTCCTGTCTGCTAACAACAAGCCTTTTGCATAATCCCCTCAGTCTATACTGGGCCTGTCTATTCTAGCTGCCATGAACACATGTTTCTCCCCTTTCTACGAAAGACATCTTAAGGATGGCAGAGGCATCAGATCAGCTATAGACAGTGTCCTCTGAAGCTGTTAGGCTGCTAAAGGCAAACTGATATCTTCTGGAACCATCTCAGGGTATCTGGAATGATGGTGACTGAAACAGAGACACCCACAGAATGTCCCTTAGAGCTTATGCAGGAGTGCCATGCAGTGGCCATGAAACTGTGGCAGTTTCTGCAGGTAGACTGACGTCCTACACTTTGGGAAGCAGGAATGGAGTCTCCCTGGACAGCCATGAGACATTTAAAGCATCCAAAGTTCTCATGTCAGCTTCCCCGATTAGAACAGAAGTGACTAGTTGATTGACAGCTCCATAGTCTGTAGGTAAAGTAAGAAGCTTAAGTAACTATCTCCTTTGCTGGTGGAACTTCTTCAGGTTAGCAACAATGTCACTTACAACCCTGTAAACTTGGGGACAAGGAGGCTACAGTAGTGGTAGCCTCTCCTTTTTAAAAAATACTTTTTATCTGTTTTGTGAGCATGTGGGGATCAGAGGATTATTTGAGGGGAGTGGGTTCTCTCCTTCTACCACATGGGTCCTGGGCTAAACCCGGGTGATGAGGCTTGGTGGCAGGTACCTTTACCCACGGACCATCTTGCCAGACCCAGTAGTGGTTCTCTGTTGGCTATCTGCTTGATCTGGGGTAATAGCTTGACTGAGCAGTTGTTACAGATCAGTAGTTAACAGACTAGCCTGCAGGTAAAAGTTGAGTTTGGTGAGTGGCTGCATCATTCGTGCTCTCATCTGGGCCAAACTGTTTAGGCTGCGGTGGAGATGATTAACCGTGCAGCCTGAGGTGTACGGCTGCACTGGCAGGCGTTGTAGTCTGCTCTTGATGGCTGTGACGGAATACCTGAGGAACTCAGCTCAAAGGAAGAAAGGTTTGTTTCAGCTCCTGGTTTCTGAAGATGGCCAGGGCACACTTCCAGCCAGATGGTGAGGCCCCATAATGGCAGAAGCATGTGAAGGAAAGCAACCAAGGAATATGTCTTGCTTCTACTACAGAAATCCCACCTAACTCCCTAAACCCATTAAAGTATGACTTCAATACAGTTTACAAGGTCAGAACCCTCGTGAGTCAGTCACCTCTGAACACTACTAGACTGGGCACCAATTCTTGGATACATAAGCTTTGGGGGGATGTGTGGCATGGTGGTGCACTCCTTTAATCTCAGCATTCAGGAGGCAAAGACATGTATATCCCTGAGTTTCAGACCAGAAAGAGCTACAGAGTGAGACTGTCTCAAAATAAAAACAAAAAGCAAGATCAAATGGACAATGGATAAGAACCACTGAGTTTAGAGTAGTCCTCAAAACTCTTTGTTCTTAAGAAAGCTTGGTTTATGGTATGCATAACCAATACTCCATTTGATGATATTTATTTAAATGTTGGCCTTTTCTAGAGCAGGGTCATTATGAGTTGACACACAAAATAGTCCCCATTTCAGTGTTCCAGAACCATACTTCCAGTATGAAGTAGAGTGCCTCCATGGAAGCCTGACGGGGGATGTCCTTCTGTACATATGTTTCTCTTATTGGTTGATGAATAAAACACTGTTTGGCAGGAAGATAGGCAGGACTAGGAGATAAGAAGAATTCTGGGAGATGTAGGCAGAGACACGCCACAAACAGTTGCCATGTAGTCTACAAAGGAGTAGAAGGTCCAGACATTCTCTAGTAAGCCAAGATCACGTGGAAATAGATAGATTAAAAGAAATGGGTTAATAATTAAGACAGAGATAGCCAATAAGAAGCCCTAGTCATTGGCCAATGATTTAATAATTAGTATAGTGTCGTCTGTGTTTATTTGGGCCTGAGAAGGGCGGCAGGACCTGGCGGGGTAAGAAAACCTTCAGTAACAGAAGTCTACCCATTTCCACCTTCCCACGCCTTGCCACCACCCCCAGCTTCTACTCACATCTTTTTATAGTTTACTGTTATTCCTCTTTACCAGTAATTCTGACTTTCCAGGAAAAGAAAAAATAAAGTAAAATAAAACTCAATTCCAATCACTTTTAAAAGAGCATATTTATTATTTCTCTGGTAGAGTAGAGACAAAGTGTGTACTTTTATTTGTCAGTCTGTGACCTTGTCACCATATCTACCTAGAATGGGCTGGTAGCAGCTACTCCCACTGTCACCAAACACAGTGTGAGCAAAGGGGAGGAGGATGGGTATTGGAAAATGCCCTGGGATCTTTCAGAACAAATAGTCACAAATACAAATGTGACAATAAAATAAATTACAAAATTAAATAATATTAAATTAAATTAGGATTCAAGTGAAGACTCCCTGAGTGTGGCTACTTGGCAGCAAACAGCTTGAGGAAATGGAGTTGTGGAGGTGGCAAGGGTGTTCTGAGGCTTGGGCCCCGGCTCCACACAGCGCCGGTGAAGGCTTCTGGGTTCCTCACTGACTCGAAGCCTCTCCAGCATTCAGCTCCAGGTCAGCGATGTACTCTTGGACCCAGGTTTCTTTGGGGTCAGCGCAGAACTGCCGGTTTCTCTTGGTTAGGAAACTGTGGAGAGAAAGGAGGGTCAAACGCTGAAACATCGGATGGGAGAGTCTGAAGTCCTCCATGGCCTCTCCATCCCACCCATCCTCTGCCATGCTCCAGAGAGCCTCTCCCACTGGCCCCCTTTAGAGGACCCTGTGCTTCCCTTTTGTGCCCTCCTCGCCCCCTGTCCCATGGCTGAGGATCCCTCGCCCCCACCATATCAGGGAAAGCAGAAGAACGGAACTTACATGACACCTGGCTCAGAGCAAAGGCTGCTGGTCTCAAAATAGTCGGCGATGAATTTGCGGGAAATCTGCCGGCCATAGAAGAAGCAGCAGGAGGTTGGGGTGTCAGCACCATCTGCAAAGGGGAAAGTCAGCCAACACATCTTCTTTAGAGGGCGAGGAAGGCTAGGGCCCTGACAGCATTTGGAACCAGAAATGCCCCTGTGTCTGTCTTCATTTCTGTCTGTATTTTCTCTGTCTTCACTGTTGGCTTTCTCTCTCTCTCTGTGGGTTACCCCATGCTCCTTCCACAGCTTTCTCTGATGCAATGAAATCAGGACACCTGGGGCATGGCTTAAGGCATCCCAGAGACAGAGCTCCTTAGGCATCCTAGAGCTGGCTGGGAAGTATATGACACCACCCCCTTCACGGTGACTCCAAGTCCCGGGTACCTACAAAAGGTTAGACACCCCCACCCCACAGAAAGAAAAATAAGAAACTTAAAAAGAAAGATGGGTTTCTTTTCTCTTGTAGACTCTGAAACCACAGAAGACTGATGTGGTCTGCACAAGACCAGAGAGTGGGGACTACCGCTATAGCCGTGTGGACTTACATGGTGCGGAGAAAACTTGGTTACAGAGAGCCATGGTGCAGAGAAGGACAGCAAGGGCAGCCGTGGGGACCTTCATGATGCAGAGCAGGTGATGGAGAGTGGGCTTGTCAGCAGAGACTGGTCCTCACTGCCGCTTGTGTCCTGGTGTCTGAAGCCGGATGCCCCTTCTCTTTATAGGAAGCCCTGGCAGATGGGGAAATGGAATCGGGGGTGTGGAGGGAAATTTTTAAACACAGCAATGTTGTCATGTTGAATATTACACAACATAGGGTCCTCAGTGACCACATGGGGCTCAGGATATCCAAGAATAGAATCTCTGAGATATAGTCTCAGTTCTCAACTCGTGATCTATTCTTGCTTCTTGTGCGGAAATTAGTTTCTCTTATGAGCAGGAGGAGCTAGTACAATGTCAACTCAAGGCTATTCTTAGCTGGTCCCTTCTCATAAAAACCACTTTGTGAATGAATGCTTCAGCCCTGTTCCTTACCATGGAACCGAAACTCTGTCATTTCTCAGCATCTCTAACCTCATGGATGGAATAGCTATGGATGGTGGCACAAAAGCCCCTCCCACTACCACCATGAGGGGCCAAGCTAAAGCATTCCCAGCTAGAGTGACAGGGAACATGAAGTCATGTTTGAGATATTTGCTCAATCATCAGTCACAGAGTGACTAGGCCACTGCATTGAACAGTAGCTGTGGAACATAATGATACTTCACACGTGGGTGTTAAAGTGTGAGGAGCCTAAAAATATTAATGCCCATTAATCTAGAAAAAGCCTTTCTAGGAAAGGGCTTTGTGGAAACAACCCAAATATGAAGGCATCTTTAAACATAGAGACAGCTGGCCAGGTGTCATTATAATTCTGATCTAAGGAAACTGAACTTTCATTATGAAAGATTTATAAATTAAATTATAATATGTACATTGGATTGCTTATTTATGAAGCTCTTAAAATTAATAAAATTACATAAATACAGTCATAGCATCAGCGTTAAAAATATCAAGAAAAATTGTACAACTTTTACAAAGTAAAGAATTCTACAAACATCTAGAAATATACACAGATTTCCATGCCAAGTCCAGGCATTACAAATAAATAATATTAGAATATAAATCATTAGAAATAAAAGCTTTTAAAAATTATTAATACTTTTTGTGATGGGCCCATGGGTGATTAATTTTCTTATATTTTGAGATTTTTTTCTTATTTTATTTTGTGAGATTATTACCTTTCTGGCCAGTTCCATACTTGTGAACTCATTTTGTTTAAAACATTCTCAATATCACCAGTTTAAAAGTAAGCTGTTATTAAACGTCATAATTTTAATTGCTTTTAATTTCAGGTTTTTGGAGGCAAGGTGTCACTAGGTAGTTAAAATTATGATCCTTCTGATTCAGGCTTTCGAGTGCTAGGACTGCAAGCATGGGCACCATGCCTGAAAGAAGGTGTTTCGTGTGTGAGTGTGTGTGTGTGTGTGTGTGTGTGTGTGTGTGTGTGTGTAGTCTGCATGTGTGTGAGTAATGCGTGTGGTCTACCTGTGTGTGTGTGTGTGTGTGTGTGTGTGTGGTCTGCCTGTGTGTGAGTGTGTGTGTGGTCTGCCTGTGTGTGAGTGTATATGTAGTCTGCATGTGTGTGAATATGTGTGTGGTCTGCATGTGTGTGAGTGTGTGTGTGATGTGTGTGTAGTGTGTGTGGTTTGCCTGGGTGTGACTGTGTGTGTGTGGTCTGTCTGTGTGTGAGTGTGTGTGTGGTGTGGTGCGTGTATGGTGTGTGTGTGTGGTATGTGTGGTCTCCCTGAGTGTGACTGTGTGTATGTGTGTGTGTGAGTGTATATGTATGTATGTGCATGAAGAGGCCCAAGATTAATGTCAGAAACCATAATACCATCAATCTTCCCTATAATTCACTGAGGCAGGGGTTCTTAATCAAATCCAAAGCTCACTAATATGTCTGGTTTTGCTAACCAGCTTGTTCTGGGGATCCCCAATCTCTGCCTTCCAAGACTAGAATTAACAGGCAGGCTGTGGCGATGCACCATTATGATAAAAATGTCTCATACATTCTAAGAGACTGGAACTTTTGCTGGAGCTCACACCCAGAGTTACCAAAGTGACTTGAGGTCACTTAAGACTTCAGACAGATATTCTACTGTGTTCTCAGCCTACTGGCTTAACCTGCCTTTAAGAGAACAATGTAACTTATTTGCCTTGGATTTCCCATGCAATCAGCTTTTATAACCTAAGAGGATGCATGGCTTTAGTATTAAATTATGTACTCTTCCATGTCCTGATTGAGGACAATGCATGTGTATCATTTGCTAAAAGCAGCAAATACAGAGGTTGAAAGCACCCTTCTAATGAATGCCCACTTATGGATATTGATTGATTAACAATGATACTTGAATAGCCATTTATGGATATTGGTTGGTTGATAACAGTGATGCTTGTAGTGCTGTTTGTTGTTCAGGTCAGTTGGAATCAGTGACTTAATCCCTTGTAGCACTCTGTTAAAGATTTCTGTAACATATCCCATTCCTTCCCCATGGGATGCTTCCTGTTCAATAAAGGCAGAGCAAAACCTGTGTTAGGGACAGTCACACAACTAACACAGAAACACAACAGTCACACAACGGACAGAGGCTTACAGACCTAGACAGACATACAGTCATACACAAATACAGACATGGAGGCAGACTAGCAAGATAATCTTCAGACAGGCCCGGATTCAGGCTCTTGTTACAGACAGACAGACAGAAGACAGAAGAGACACAGGGAGCATGAAGAAGAGAATTCAAGTCTGCACTTGCTCTTCATTAAATGACTCCAAGAGGAAGTGTTTTTATTTTGTTTCTTAATGTGATAACAATGTATTACCAGTGACAGGGAGCTAATCACTAATGTGTTTAATCCAGTCCCCTGGCCATCATGACCACAGACATTTATGTGGGTACAGGGGATCTGGATTCTAGTCATATTTTCAGAGCAAGCATGTTAACCACTGAACCATCTCTGTAGCCCTTGAAAGAGGTTTTTGTCCAACTGCGTTGAGTTCTTTTTAGTGGCCTTTATCTTTAGATTCCACAGTCTAGTGGGGGCAGGAGGAGTAGGTGAACAGGGACCATAGCACTTAGCAGAAGAGCTAAGGGAAGAAGAAAAGTGTTGCCAGCTCTCGAAGAGGGGAGGAGTGACCTTCTGCAGAGGGATGCAGGGGTCCTTCATAGAAGGGCTGCAACTTTGATAAGTTCTTAAAAGCACACAGTCAAGGAAACATTTCCTTTCAACAAAGATCACGGTAGAAAACCACAAGTCATCAAAATGGAGTCACACAGTTACTATACTCAGGGAGCACTGCAGAAGAGGGTTTGGAAAGATTGTAAAGGCCAGAGGAACAGGAAGTCTGCAGTGACATTGTGTCTCCTACATACATCAGAGAAGCTACACCAACAACGTTCCACTACCGTGGCTGCCGGACCATGATCTGAAGAAGGATGACACCAATAGACAAGCTACTGGAAGAAGGAGAGCTTAGGAGGTCTCAACACCAGACAAAGAACTGCAGACAGCTAAGGAATGCTGGGAGGGAGAGGAAGAGTCTTCCTCAGGGGAGAGCACACCATTTGGTTATCCAATACTAAATGGTCAACCCTGAAAACATGCATACAAGTCATTTGCAGACTGAGCAGGTTGTAATTATGTACTTAAGGGGACACACACACACACACACACACACACACACACACACACACACACGACAATTAAAGGAAAAGAGGTCATGAATTTGAGAGAAAGCCAAGGGGTAAATGGAGTGTGAGAAGAATAAAAGGAAGATGGAATTTATGTAACTATAGTATAATATCAAAAAATACTTTAAAACTCACACAAGATCTGAATTACATAGATGGAGTGGGACTGTGTGACTTTGTGGGTTCAGTATAATGACAGGGCATTTTGGGGAATAGGGATTTTTGGGAAACAGGGACAGTGAAACTAAACTGAGGTGAGCTGAACCAAGGAGGCTTCAAAGTCTCCCCAGAGGAGTTGAAGTTCAGAGATTAGATACAAGAAAATGGTGAAGGGTTTCAGGCATAAGAAAAACAAGGACACATCTTAGAAAGTCCATCCTTTCCAAATGTGTACAGAGCTGCATTTCAATTTTCATTTTATTGTGGTTATGTGTGTACACGTGCATATGGAATGTGTGTGTTTATGCACATGTGAGTATGCCATGTGCCATAGCATGAATGTGGAGGTCAGAGGACAGGGTTCATTCATCATTTTCCTCTTTTCAGGGATTGAATTTAGATAGTCAAGTATATGTAGCGAATGGTGTTGCCTGCTGAGACATCTGCCAGCCCTCTACGGCATTTTGAAATGAGGTTCATTCCAACACCTGTCTCCCTGAAATGAAACCCCACCAGAACAATATGAGGTGCTGCTGTGACATCATAAACTTGCTAAGACTGAACTTTCCTGATTATAAGATTTCCTATCAAGAATTCTTCTATTATGCCAGGTGGTGGTGGCGGCGCACGACTTTAATCCCAGCACTGGGGAGGCAGAGGCAGGTGGATCTCTGTGAGTTTGAGGCCAGCCTGGTCTATAAAGCAAGCTCCAGGACAGGCTCCAAAACTACACAGAGAAACCCTGTCTTGAAAAACAAAACAAAACAAAGAAACAACAACAACAAAAAAAGAATTCTCCTATTAGGGGCTTGATCGATAATTCGGCAATTAAGAGCACTGGATGCTCTTGCAGAGGACCTGTGTCCAGTGTCCAGCACCATCACGACAGCTCACAACCACCTGTAACTGTGGTCACCAGAGATCCAATTGCCCTCTTCTGGCTTTCTCGGGCACAAGGCAGTCACATGGTGTATATACATACATGCAGGCAAAACACGCATTATAGCATGAATAAATAAATGACACAGAGACTGATATTGGGGTTCAAACTTCAAGCTGAATATCAAAAAAATAAAGCAGATGGCCACTAGCCTCTTACCTCTACCTCAGGCTGAATGGACCGATCCTGTCTCCATGAGATCAGATTGTAATCTTTCCTCAGTATGGCTGGAGAACTA